CCCCCCCCCCCCCCCCCCCCCATCCAAGGTACAACTATATTGTGCTTCCCTCAAGATATTATATCTCAGCTCACATATTATATAGATATGTTGTCATGCATTGGAGTCATTTGGTTGTATGGTTTTATTGCCAGCTTCTTCGTTCTCTGCAATATTGTCTTCTGGTTTCTTCGGTTCTGTCCATGCATTTTCATGTTTTTCCAGTGTGCTCAAGTCTATGACAGTTGCTAATTCTTGTAGCTTAACTTCTGGCTGAATTTGCTTCTTTTTGTCCTTGTAGATCACATATAGTATCATTTGTGCAACTCCAAATATAAACCCTACAACATTTGGCGTCTAACCATGTAAAAACAAAAAACAAATATACAAAGTTAGTAGCTACACAAAATAAGGAAGCAATCACATCAAGTAGTTTTTTCGAAAAATTCATCTATCTCGTTGAAGAGTCATAAAAAGACAATTCATGGTACACTCATGATATGCTTATTTTGTATCTCTATTGGTATCGATATTCAAATTGTGTCGAATTATGTCTGCAATGTAACCTTGGGGTGTGCGAAATCTAGTTGAGATTGCATAACTAGCAAGTTCTTGAGGACCTAGCTGTACACTTACTGCTATGTAGAAATCCTTGATCAGAAGGCCGTAGAAGAACCACATAATAGCACATATTGTAAGAAAGAATGATAGGGAAACTGGCATGAATTCGACACTCTTCGTTCTTATGACTAGCCTCTGCAAGAGTGTGAAATTCATAAGGGGAATACATAGTAAAATTAGTGCATAAACTTTGAACCTTAAATCATACATAGTCTATATATAAAATGATGAGTTGCTATAGCAAGTACCATGATGCTAAGAGGAGCAGCAAAAACGCTGACAGAAAAGACAGCACAGATCCATCCAACAACCGTGACTCGACGGTGCCCATCTGAGAATATGGATGTGGAAAATACTATCAACCCATATGCTCCAATGTTAAATAGGACAAGCAGCTTTATAGTATAGATCTGCATACTTGCCAAACAATTTAATTGTGGCAAAAAAAAAGATACTGTGAATAACAAAAATTTTCTATACTTAAACAAAGAAGAGGAGAGAGAGACACCTTGGCCTGTTCTGTTGCATAAATCATGAAGATGATGAGATATGTAACTTCCATGACACATCCAATGGAGTTGATGGTAATGAGCATCATCCCGTTTGTCTTCAGAATGGCATAATACAAATATAGCATGGCACTGAATAGTGCAACCGCATAAGGTATAGACTGAAACCCTTCTGTTGATTTCTTCTTATATATCCTAGAAAAGGTCGACCTGAGAGAAACAAAAAAAAAAAATGGAAAACTCATTGAATTTACACATTACCCAACACTACACATTATANATGTTGCCTAAAAAACAGTGGGAAAGCAAAAGAAACAGTATTTAGATATTAAGAAAAGAGAAAAGAAGCAATTAAGGAAGAGTTTAGAGAGCAATGAATTGATTAATGGAGTAGTACTAGATACCAAGAATGCCAAAGGCACCGGCCATATGAGCAGTGAAGATTGTCATTCTTGAGGGTGGTGAAGCTCCTTGGTTGATGCTGAGCTTGGGAAAACTCTTATGCAGTGCCCACATTTATATAGCAACCAAAAGTAGGTGATGCAAAAAGATGGCTCGGCATTTGGCTTAAGCTGTCCAACAACTGGCCATGGATGTCAATTTTTGGGGTAATCATCTTTTTCTTTTTAGGTAAATTAAAATAAAAATGGGCAATTTTTTTTATGGGGGAAAATTCTAGATGAACTGATTAGGGTTGATAATTGAGTCGAGCCTTTGGAGCTCATTTTTTTAACTGAATTTAAAAAATTGTTCAAACTCAACTCGTTTAAAAGAGGAGTCGAGCCCAAAATTAGCTGAATTTAAGCCGAATCCGAGTAGCTCGACTATTTTACATATAAACGAGTTTTCTAAACGAACCTAAAAAATTGTTCAAACTTGACTTATTTAGAACACAAGCCTAGTTCGACTTAAGTCCTATTTGAGCTGAACCTGAGTAACTTGACTCAATTATCAATCCTGGAACTAATCACAAAAACTCTCCATTCATGTATACTCTTCACTTCACATATATGGCTTTACAAATGTTTCACTAGCACCAAAAAAAAAATNTAACTTGACTCAATTATCAATCCTGGAACTAATCACAAAAACTCTCCATTCATGTATACTCTTCACTTCACATATATGGCTTTACAAATGTTTCACTAGCACCAAAAAAAAAATGTTTCACTGGGACTTGGACTGCTTTTATTTAACTTCTTCAATTTCCAAATAATAATAATAGCATGCAATTTCATAATAATTATTGTGCAATAAAGGTAACATCTTCAAATATTTTGTTCAATAATCTCCCAATAAAAAATGTGCATTGTTCTTTAAATGTAATACTACTTTAGTTTAAGTTTATCGACCAAAATGATATATATTTTTCTCCGACACCAATTTTTTTTTATTGTTTTGTATTAAAAAAAAGAAAAATTATTTAATAAGAAACAGATAATAAAGAAGTTTGTTATCTACTAATAAAGCCAGTTAAAAAAAAATCTACTAATAAAGATTTGTTTTTGGAGGTTTAAATAAAGAATTTTGGTTGGGTTAGTTTGTCAAAAAAAGTTGGGCCTTGCTGGGCCTAATACACCACGGTGCCGTATGAGCGGCTTACTGGCTAGAAAGCNGTTGGGTTAGTTTGTCAAAAAAAGTTGGGCCTTGCTGGGCCTAATACACCACGGTGCCGTATGAGCGGCTTACTGGCTAGAAAGCGAAGCCGAGCCTCTTGAGCTTTTTGAAGACGTGAAGCAAATTGATTAATAATAACGACAAAAGGGGAAATGAACGGCGAGAGTTCATTTCCACTTTTGAGGACGGAGGGTTGTGATTTGAGAGTTGAGATTAGTGGACCCCAGTTCTGTTACGTTATTGATTCTACTACGTATTACACGGCTTGCTTTTGCCTTAAATGGCTTTCTTTAATCTTAGTCCATGAACTAAAAAGGGCATTTTGGTCACTGAATAGTGTTGTAATTGTTTGTCACGTCTAAATAATGTCTTAAACTACGCATAGCAATATCATCGCATGGTATGACTCAAACAGAGATTTCACCATTAATCCATGATTGCATACAAGTCCCATCAGCAGTGAGGGAAAAAAAATGTTATTTGATATTAAAATATTAGTTTTTTTTTATGAGAAATTAAAATATTAGTTGAATTTATTGATTTAATTAATCATAACTATTAAATTAGATCAATATTTTTAGTCCAAATCAGAAATGCAACTGTTCTCGTTACCTCATAGACAGCATTCAATATGAAGAAGAAAAAATGATTTCTCTCTCTATTCAACTATCGGTTATGTCTATTTATCTTTATGCCAATTATTCTCATAAGAGTAATTAAATATAGGGTCGGAGCTTTATGTGTTCGAGCCAAATTTATTAAGTTCATTTTTTGAAATGAGATCAAAAATTATTCAAGTTCAACTTATTTAAAATCTAAAATGAATCGAACCCGAGTAGCTCGACTATTTTACATATAAATGAGTTAAAAAAATTGTTCAAATTTGACTCTTTTAAAACACGAACCGAGTTGAGTTGAGCCTTATTCAAACTAAGTCCGAACTGAACCCGAGCAGCTTGACATAATTATCGACCCAAGTAAAATATGATAAAGCTAAAAAAAGTTTAAAAAATCCGTTTGAAGTGACTTTCTATATTTTTTGATTTTTTTGTATCAAAATAAAAAAATAATTATATATGTATAGATTATGCATAATAGTTCTTAAAATATGAATTTTAATTTTTTTCATGTCACTAATACTAATATTTTATAAATATAATAAACTAAAAAATTATGTGAGGTCTTTGACAAAACTCCAAAAAGCCGAAAAAATGTTCATAAAATTAATTTCTTGAATTAGTCTAAATAAATTTTTTTGGATCAAAAAAACTATTGCATAAGTTGGTAAAAAAAATCAAGGTTTAAATAAACTTGATTTATTTTACGCTAAAATCCTTAAAAACTACCTATTTAAACTTATTCCAAACGGACCACTGTCACAAGAGTAATCAAACATGAACCTCTCACCCTTAACATATCATGTGAGGAGTCATTGAATAATAGTGCAAGGCCTAAATGAATTTTCCACCAATCATTTGGAATGTCTTTAAGATAATTTTGGTTTCTTATCAGTTTGTACTAATTAACCTAACCAATAACTGCATTTTCAGCCATGCAAGTTTGACTAAATTTGCATGTGCGTGGTGGGGATATGTAGGCCGACGATGATTTATATCGTGTTAGGTTCGTGATTTATGAAATAATTTACTCATCTTATAATTGATTCATTCNTGTAGGCCGACGATGATTTATATCGTGTTAGGTTCGTGATTTATGAAATAATTTACTCATCTTATAATTGATTCATTCATAATCGTGTATAATTGAATTCGTGTTGTGTTGTGTCGTTGATGTGTTTAATCTAGTTTGTTTTCTCCGATTTATTTGATAAATTTATGGGCCGGTTCATCGTTTATCGTTTATCATCCGAGATTACTCAATGTGTCAGGTTTATGAATTGTGTCTAGAATTGTCAAGTTTGAGGATATGCAATGTTGAAGCCTCTACTAGTTCATGAACAACTGAATTATATGTTAAGTGGAAGACAGAAAGTTACAACAAACAAACACTTTATGGCATTCCTTGGTTGGGTTGGTTTTTCTTGAGGTTCTCTGCCATTCATGGTGCCTTTGTCCTTTATAGGTCCCTTTATTTAATCAGTTATGGTGCTCTCTTTGGCTTTAAATCTTCTATAGGCCTTACTGTTATTGGTTTGTTGTCATACCTTTTGTAAAAGGCAGGTTTAAAATGAGGTTTCACGAACAAAAATTGTAGATAATTTTATCGTCATTTTGGAAAGAAAAATTTCTAAACACAAGCTCGTGAAACTGTTGTTTTGGTAGATAAGCACGTGTCATTATTTTTCGACCTCTTCTTGGTAATTGAGTATGATATTAAAATCGATAAACAGAAATATTTACGAGTTGTTGTATACAAATATATTAATATCTCCTCTTGGACACCTCAAATGCAAATTCATTATCCTTATTAATGGTAGAATTTTGTGTCTATGGTCTATGTTCTATGTTGTGGAGTGGAGTTAACCTCACTGTGTACTTATTGATAGGTAAATAATTGGTGACTAAATTGTTGGACTAAAGCAGTTTTTGGACATTAAAAATTGATTTTTGATTGACTTTGAGTTTAAATTAAGTGAGATCCGTATATTGTTTTGAGTAAATATTCGTAGATTCGTGTTCTACTCTGCGAGGACAATAATATAATATATTTACTTACTCAAATTAAATAAGGGGTGAATGAAAAAATAAATTCTAAAGTGATCCTCTTAAATTATAGAAATAGAGGTTAAACAATGTGAGATAATACAATTCTTACATTAGTTGAGCAAGACTTATAAATGATTCTTTGGAAGTCGGTACACCAAATTAGACTTATTTATCAAAAAGTCCATATTTAAAAACGTTTTGGAAAAAGGTACAGTACTTGGGTCCAAAGACTGAAATGCCTTTTTTTATTATTTTTATTTCCTTAAAAAATGTAATATTACAGTAATCATAACTGCTAAAATTTAGATTCCATTAATTCAAAATCTTTTCAACTTTCTCAAAAACTGTAATATATCTCTTTGTGTTCTAAGAAAAAACGGCTGGTCATTACTTCCATTCCCACAAAACCGCCAGACTTCATTTCCTTTTCAAAGAAGGCGATTCATCTTCTTCCTCATCCCGTTGTTGGTTTGATCAGAGAAAGGGTATTGAATCTCCATTGTTCATCGATTCAATAAGCATTCAGGTTACAAACCCACGATCGATTGAAGAGGGTTTTGTTTTTTCGGCACTCTCATTTGAAGTGGGTTTTTTCGGCCTTCCTTGCTCTTGATCTTT